TCGTTCTTTCGGGTACAATTGATCGTAACCATTCCAAATCATCGCGTACCTGTCCTCACCATGAGCCTTCAAAGCCATTAACTTCCAGGAGTAACCTCAAATTGCCAGGCCCATAGTTGATGACACGCTCAAAGTACTTCAACCGCCGAATTTGACGAATGAGATCAAGCCCTGCTCGTTTCACCTTCAAGAAAACAGCATCGTCAGTGACATGTTCCTCAGAGTTCGCAACATGTACCATCCTCGCCGCTGCACGCAAAGCACCAACATACGCCGCCTGTATCCGATTTTCATTAGAAACTCCCACGTCGTGCCTAATCTCCATCTGTTGAAAAAGCTCAAAGCATGCAAGGGCCTCACAATACCTCACCTTCGCCTCGACCGAAAGAGTGCCCTTGTTGAGTAATACCCCCCTAAGCGGCCCCATTGCGTGGTCGTGCATCTAAATCCTCCTTGTAATCTCTGGCCTCCACGAAGCGCCAAACGATGCAATAGCTTCCATATGCTTGTACTGCGTCACGATATAGAAGGAAAAGTCATACTTCAAACTCTTGAAAGATACATCTTCTCCAGGGTGCGACTGTTGCCGAAGTTGTTCCCTTTTTTTCACCGTGCAGTTGCACAAGGGCACCAGTCTTCCCCCTTCCGTAGTTTGGCTCCATAAAGTGAACAATGAAAGATTCGTGCATTGTGTCCATAGCCTCTCGCAATGATCTGGCAACTACACCATTAGCAAGAATGAGCGGAATCATTACATCGCCCACAAATGTTACGTCCATTATTTCCTTTTTCGCTGTCGCCTTCCATGAGTACCGAACGCTCCTCTAGTAGATGGTCTTCGCAATCGAATAGTAAGGCATGCTCTCGCAGTCGTTCGCTCACCATCTGCAGGGGCTTGGTGAACACGATGTTGGAAAAATATGCTGTCGCACATCCTGGTCTCGCCCCTCGACTGGGCGCGCCAACTTTATCACGCCCTCCTGCTTCGAAAAAGGTCATCCTCTGAGATTCAGCTGCAAGATGCCCGAGATGAGGGTCAAGATTCTCTGTTCCCAGAATAGCTGGTTGTGGTAGTACCTCCATTGCCAGTGGTACCAAGCTCAACGGGATGTCACAATTGCCGAGGATGCGCATCGGCTCGTCCTCCAGGTATTGAATCTGGCGCGCCATCTGACGAACGATCCTATGGGATGCCGCAGCCGGATCAAGAAACATAAATGCAGCTGGTTTCTCAATTTCCTTTGCAATATCTCCAACCAGCCTTGCTTGATGTGCCGCCATTGTCGGTGACCGATGTGTTCTCCCTCCCACTTGAGTGCCCCTTAACATAATGTCGATCGCGCACGCCAGCTGGGAACGGAGAAACCGATAATGATGTTTGGCAAACACATTACATACGGTAACTGCTATGTAGCCTTTGTTGGAATAATGATTGCCGTTCCCCTTCGAAACCTCCGCCAACCTGCTGTGTTTGAATGGAATAGGCTCCGCACCTGCGAGGCAAGACTTGACGAAGATCGGCGTGGCCAACCTAGCCATTTCCTTCGGCGCGACCTCGACGAGCTCCTCAATAATCCCGTCTGGGCCTGCAGCACGGCGAGATGGCCCCTTTGAGAACATCTGTTCAACTTGTTGGAGAGACGGTGCCATATCGATGCTCAGAGGGATGTTATCAAGAGCCGTGCTTGGGTGCCTGTTGAAATGACCCACATATTGTTTAGCATCCATAACTTTTGCGTCTTCAAGTTTAGAGTGCACCGCCATTCGAGTTTGACCTATTTCGCTTTCATTGGTGACCACGTTGCCTCTGTAGTCAACCCTATATGGTAAGAAAACCCCTATTTGGTGCACCTTGGATGTTGACGTCATCCGCGCCTCAGTAGTCGTTTAACCTCTTTCCATGCAACACGTTGGCCGCCAACCTCCGAGTACTCGCCAATCGATACTGCAATCTTTTCAAGGTGCTCCAATTTCTCGAAAGCAAGCCTCGCAGACAAGATGCTCTGTGTCCGGGTAAGACAAGCATCTAATTGGGCCCCAAATTCCGTAGTGGACCATATCTTGTCCTGAAGAAACCCACATGCCAACACTAGTTGACAGACATACTCGTACCATGGGTCTCCTTGTTCAGCGAATAGATGTGACTGTTGTGGAAGTAGACGTACTATGTTATCGAATGCCTTCTCCTCCTGCCTCCTCCATCGCCTCTGAGCTTTCAAAGCATATCTCCTGAGCCTGATGAGCTGCATGACCTTCCGACTGATGTAGGACTGATGCTGAGTGAACCTGTCCTCGGAGAAGAGCGACTTCGCATGTTCCTTGATTTTGCCAACGGTTTCCTTATACTGCTCGTTGATCTCCTTGCTCCATTTTCCTGGATATTATTTCCCGAGCCTTTCTCGGAACTGACTTTGCAGCTCCTCATCCGCAAGCTGTTCCATCGATAGGTTGACCCGTCCAATGCCAGGTTTCATGGCGGATGAGTGCTCACAACATGACT